AACCGAGAGACCACAGTTATGTAAGGTTGTCTTTTTTTCCCCTCTGGGAGCTTGCACAGTGTCAAATTAAGATGCAGTTCAGGAACTAATAAGCATGAGAACTCCCCTCACCCTTTGTACCCATATGCATGTGAAACAACCTTATGTAATGCAACTCCATAAGCATTTTAACAAAAAGGATTACAACAGAGTGAAGAATAAAGAAAGGGATTCGGGGGGGTTAAGATTATGGACTTGGCAGAGCGGGTGGAGGCTGTCAGATATGCCTTGCAGAAGCTAGGTGCTCATTAGCATACTTCATTTGTCTAAATATAGTCCTAATCCAATGCTGAAGGGCAAGCAAACAAATCACAACGTGTGTGGGAAGGCATTTTACCGATGCTCATCCTTGAAATTCTACATCATGACAACATGCACAATGTAAATTAAATCATCAAACATCTACCTTGACGTGCACTTTATGACCCCTTTTTAGAAACGTTTACTATGCTGCTTGTGGGCTGAGCACACTGCAAATGACTGCAGGCTGCAGTGATGCCAGGGGAATCTGTTAAAAGGTCACAGGCAAAACAAGTAGCTTGGCTGGAGGGAGGACATGCAGTGACAAGGAGGCACGTGTTGAAGATGCACAAAGCTTCTGGGACTCCAGGAGTCTTTGAGACTCGTCGGCTTAGTTTGCATAGAGGCGCCGAAAAGATTTAGGGAGCATTTCCCCTCAGAGGTGCATTCTAAGCAGCCTGCTGCGAAAGCAAACATTTGTAGAGCTATATATGCTTGAGGTGGTTATAGTATGACTCATAAAGGATGGCAGCCTCATGCATGACGACTTACAGTAGCTCACACATGCATGTAAATGCCAGCACCCGGCAGAGAAAAAATAGTCCCAGTTGAAAATTCCTCAATCCAGTACAATCGAACGCTGCATAGTTTAGTCACAATCTATTAATATTTGATATTTCTCTCCAAACTCAAACAGCCCACAGAATTTGAAGTGAGGCAGCATTTGTACTGTACGGCGCTGTGATTTGGCGGTTATGAGTAATAACTGAGCATATCTTTTAAGAGGAAAGGATTTGGCTGTCTGTGCACTGGCTCTTTCAGCTGGTAGAGTGCTGCTTTTGTAACTTCTTCAGCAATTTCAACAAATGACAAAGATGACAAAGCAAAGATATTGTCTATCTTTTATCTGTTGAACACCCTGCGACAGATACTCGTGTGATTTTGGGCATGTTTCAAAATGTCTGCATCATGATATATTTTAAATAACTCACTAATTGGAAGCATGTGGGTGTCGGTTTGTTGTTGTGTTCATGCTGTGGTGATTGTTTGCCCCGAAACAGGTTTTGTCATCTGGAGGTAGGTGAGAACCGGACAGCGCTCTTTCCTCTTCTAGTATTGTTTTGGTGCGTAGGAGGGAGAGGAGTCATGAGGGTTGCCTACTCAATGAGCCAGAGAGATGGATGGAAAGAGGGAGAGAGAAATGAAAGATAAATATAGAGGGAGAAAGAAAAAAAAAAAACCTTTCCCACAGTTGCCTGTAACAGACAAAGTGATGATAAGAACTGTGATTTGCAGTGCTGCTTTACTGACAATGTGTCTGTGTTAAATGCTTTTTAAACAACTTTAACTTGGATCTTTTGTGATTTATTGATTTCAGCGAATCAACACATGATTTGTTTTAACTGAAACATTATACACTTCCCTCACTGCAGGGACTAAAGAAACTGTGAAAACCCTGCTGTAATTTAATTTTTTAAGAATTGGCTGTAATGGCTCAGATATTGATTCAGACACAGCTAACAGTTTCTGGTAATCGATACATAAAAGTGTCTAAAGGCATTAATGTGATCTCTTCAGCTGTTTTTAAATGTTCAATTTAACATAGCATATATGCTTGCCAGTGTGTAGAGCAGGTCATGCCGAGGCTTTAAAATCCTGTCAGAACAGTGGGCTTCATGGAAATGGCACTGAGACAAAGCTAAGCAATGCCTTCATTAAGAGCCATTGTGCGGATCTATTGATTTATCTCTATCAATGATGTGGGATCTCTCACATCTCACTGACTATTTCTCGCCTTCTCCCACACACTCAAAGGCTTTCAAGTGGGCTTAAATCCTTCTTGACTTCAAAAGCAACCTTCAGTTCCATCCTTTTTTTTTTTTTTCTCTTTCTCCGTACACTTACCCAGTGCAATACCAAGATAAGAGTCAGTGAAAATGTTTCATGTCATAACTGGCTATAAAATACTCCAGAAAGAGAGATGGAGTCAGACAGTGGTACCAATAGTGTGGAGTTGTTATTGTGTTTGAAAAAAAAAGAAGAAAAGAAATCCTCAGATCACATGTTTGACTCCATAACTGTCAACCGCTCTTGGAGATGTTAAAGTCATAGTAGGGAATAAAGAAAGTTTAAGAAAAACAACTAACAACTGGAAGTATTAAATGCTAAATAATGCTAATTTTTATGTCATTAGATTTTTCTTTTTTCCCAACCTCCATAAAATCTGAAGACTACATTTGTCATGACCAAAAAGCGAAAAGAACACAAGACTCCCCCCCAGCCACACAGACACTCACCCACACTCACACACACACACACACACACACACACACACACACACACACACACACACACTCACACACACACACACACACACACTCACACACACACACACACACACACACACACTCACACACACACACACACACACACTCACACACACACACACACACACACACACACACACACACACTCACACACACACACACTCACACACACACACACACACACACACACACACTCACACACACACACACACACACACACACACACACACACACACAGTACCAGGTATCAAAGCATTGGGTGTATGCTGCGTTGCGCTGTGTGTGCAGAGCCATGAGGATGAGTCAGTATAAGCTTCTAAAGTGGATGTGGATTAATTAAAAACTCCTCTCTCTCTTCACCTTATTGAGGAGCTTCAGATTCAGAGACTGTTTCTTTGCAGAATTATCGTAGCAGTGATGGGTAGCTATGATGATAAAAGGCCAGCGTTCATGTATCCACCTTTATATAATGCTCTGTTAGAAGTTTTGAAGTAGGAAAAGTCAATAACTTGTTTTTTTTCACTTACCAGGAGTTAGGGATACGCTCAAACTAGTTTCAGGGAAGTTTGTAGAATATGTTTTGGTAAAGTGAGCTATAGGACTACTAAGTATTCAATTGTATAAAGAACAAAGCCAGAAAGCATTAAAAGAAGTCAGGTTAATATGGCATAACTAGCAACAACTTTAGGTTTTGATTCACCACTTTTTCTTATGCTTCACATTTTACATCACCTATGCGATTTCATCCTTAATGCATATTTTTGGTGATGTCAGCGGTGCCTCCCTGTGCTTCTCAGCAGGTGAAGCTGAGCCAGCTCCAATTGGGAGCCACGACCGGTCCGCAGCAATAGAAATCCTCATCAAAGGCTGGCATCATCCAAACACATCAAAGAGCAGACCTCTGTCTCCTGGCTGGGAAAACAAGGCAAAGGTTTTCTGTCTCTGTGTCTATGAATCTGTCTGCCTGTCCCATTCAAAAGTCAGAAAACAACCCTTTATTGAGCTTCTTTTACACACAAACAAACACAATTGTTTGGCATCGCTAGTGGTTTCTTGTGTGTGGGATTCTTGTGTCAGGTAGGGCTGTATGGTGCCTTGCAACTTTTACTCATACTTCCAAAAAATGTGGTAGGATGAGTAGTGGTAAATTGTTTAAATTTCAGATATTTCTGATCACATCATTTGCCCTAAATCAACATTGAACAAATCTTTTCAGACACATTTTTCACCATAAACAAACAGCAGACTGAAACACGTCAGCTCAGAGCCTCTTGTGATTGGTTCCCTTGCTTCTCTGTGAAGCTGTATTACATAAGGTTTTTTGTAACATCCTCATTGCCGGATTCTGGAGACTTACAGAACAAACAAACTCAAGTGGAACGGAGACATGGAGCTGCACATGCAGCAGATGCAATGTGCAAAAAGAGGCTTGAACCTACACACCATAAGGTTTAAGTGCTCGAGAAGAGTAAAATGACATGCTTTAAAAAAAAAGAGAAACAAATGACATAAAAAAAAGCCTCCCCCTTTTCCTGTGGGAGCTTTAAGGGGAAAAGGACAAGGGAACCATGACAGGAGCATGTAATAGGATCGTTGAATGACTAATAAGAGATAATTACAGCAGGGGGAAGATGGTTGCCTAACAGGGGACAATAGGGTTTCATGTGTTGCTTGTCTTTGCGTGTTGCTCCTGACAGGGACATGTATCTAGGAAATTCAACAAAGATTCTGAAGAGTTCTAAACGCTGTCTGTGTCTGACTTTCGCCTGTGTGGGCGTTGTTTGATGGGGTCAGCTTGTTTTGAAGAGTAAAATAAGTGGGATTCAAAGAGAAAAGAAGAAGAACACGGACAGTGCTTATACTGATGTGTTGTACCAGTAATATTCCTCCCTCTTGCCTTTTATCCCCTGCTACTTTAATCCTCTTTCTTGGGCAGGATGTTTGAGTCTGACTACACAGTTGTTAATGGCCTATGTGCTTCCTTCTTCGTCACATGCATGAATTATTTAAAGGGGAAGGAAGAGTATTAGCTATAGCCGTGGAACAGAAAGAACAATAGCTAGTTATTTTGTTGGTGTGGTGCCATTCATCAGCTTTAGCAATTTAATTTTTGCTTTTTTAAAAATTTTTTAATTTGCCTCAATAATGTCCTCATTGCCAAACGGGGCCCATCTAACTCGGTTAAAGCTTTAATGGATAACTCTTTGTTTTGTTGTGGAGTTGTGGGAGTAACTGTGTGCTTTTGGCTTACGTTTGTAATGACTGATCATTTCTCTCTCTCTTTCTCTCTCCCTCTTTCTCTCCCTCACACACACACACACACACACACACACACACACACACACACACACACACACACACACACACACACACACACACAAACGCTCACCCACATGCACCTGCCTCGTACCTATTTCAATGCGCCATTCAATGGATGCATTATATTCATCATCGTACATTATTCAGATTTGAATCAGGGGCTGTCAGCTTGCTGACGATCCGGCCTCCAAAATTTAATAGCTCGGACCAGAATAGCCTTGACAGCATATTGCTGTGATTCAGTGATTCTCTGACACACTGGCCACAAAAATCTTCTGAATCAGGTTTCATGTTTTACTGACTGGTTGTGCTCTGTAGACGCGGAGATAAAAAGCGATTACCCTTGTGACTTTTTGCACTGTTTTCTCTGTCAGCTAGTTAAAAAGCTGTGGGGGCCTTATTCAGTCTGGCAGCTGTTTCGGGTGATTGTGTCTTCCTGTGTGTTTGTGCAGGGGTCTGTGTAATTGCAGTTTCTTTTCAGGGATGCTGTTTAAGTCACTACCATGTTTATCCACCAGAAAACACTGCTTATTGTCCTTTATGGGCTTTGGACACTTCTGGTAGACTACAGTTGAGTACAAGGAGACTTTGGGTACCACATAGATGTATATCTAGATGTTCCATTGGTGCAGTTTTAATCGATTATATCCAACAGAGAAACAGAAAGGGGGGGCGACAAGGTTCTTGATGTTATCCTTCCTATTTGTTTCCCCACCGTGCATGAAGCAGGTTTTTTGCCTCGAGCCTCGGAGCAAGACAAGATTGTGGTGAGCTGATAATTAGAGGTTTGCTTAAGTTTTCCCTTTTCATGATTCAATACACAGCTAATCCACCTTTCAGATGTGTAAGACATTGCTTCTTATTTGAACAGATAGCCAAAGATTAAATTGCTATGTATAAAACTAATGAAACACAAACACTGAATCCTTTTTATGCACACATCGTCTTTACAAGAAAAAGGTCCTCTTTCGGCCATATTATGTTTATTCCCATGAGAACACACAGAACAGCAATGAAAGATGATCTCTCTCTAAAGACAAACGCATCGTTAAGTAAATGGAGTACAGAGGAGGTGAGAATGTCACAGTGAAAAGAAAAAACACATCGATTGGACAAGCATCTGTCAAATAAAGTGGGAATGGGATATTTCAAAGTATTAGGTCAATCATTTTTTCAACGAAAGATAATTGAATATTAATACATTATTTCATAATATATAGTATAAATCTCATAATTTGCATGCCTAAAAAATACCCTGTATTTTTTACTGTAATAAACCTACTCAGCAATGAGACGGGGGATGATTCATGCATGTAATTCAAAGTAAAGTTTTTTTCTTAAATAAATGTAGGTTTTGTCAGGTCCTAGAAACGTTGTCCACTTCTAAAAGAGTGACAACAAAGGGCCAAAATGTGTTCCAAGGACAGGACCCCCGGGGCAAGAAGTGGAACGGGGCCAAAGTGCATGTTGATGTTTGTGTGTACTAAGGGAGATTTCAAAAATGATAAGGCGGGAAAGATCAACATGAAGTTCAGAGCAAATGATTACAAAGCAAACACACATTGCTGAGCGATAAGACAGAAAAATCCTGCGTTTAGATTCAAATGCTAATGCGGCTGAAACATGTCAAGGTTGATCACCTTTTTTTGCAATTATTGAAAAACAAAACATAAACAGATATAAAATGATACATATTTAATTTGGCTTGTGGAGCATTTGAACTATTCATGTGCGTGGTATATAAAAAAAATCGGGAACATCTTTTCAAAGAGCAGTTAAGCATAAATATTTCATATAAATATTTGAATCTACATTTTGAATGTCCCTTTTAACTAGGACTGACATGCATCAGTCAGTAGCAGTGGGCTATAGGGTGGGTGGTAAGGTCAGCGTGGAGACACCTCTCGGGAGATTGTGCTTTACAGACCAAGAACAGGGCTTGGAATTAATGTTTCAGCTGCTGAGATGGAAAAGGGAATTCACTCAACTGACAAAGACATTACTGAGGCAGTTGCAAAACAACCCTTTGTGTAGTTCTAATTGTAAATTTCAACCTTGAAAAATGAGTATAAAATGAGGTACTAACTGGTTTCTTTTGGGCCACGGCTCCGAGTATTTTTGGGGAGACAACCAGACTCGAACGATGAAGGCATAAACAACGAGCATTTAGGAAGGCTTGAACAAATAAAAAACTCACTTTGATCCGTCGTCTTCAGTGCACATCGCCTTGTACAGAGTAGTTTGAGCCTATGATTTTCGTCAATGCAAACTAAATGCAAACTGACATGGAATAATAACACTGAAAAGAAAAAAGTATAATAACGAGCCCCCACATTTAAAAAAAAAAAAAAGAGAAGAAGATCAATAACAAGGTTTCATTACCACGCAGAGCTGCAGTCAGACACATAAAGCTAAATTTTGAGACTGTGGGTGAATCAACACAATCTAAAATGAGAGTATTAGAGTATCCAGAATAAGCCCGCGGTACTCTGTTTTATGGCTACCAGTTTCAACTCAAATTTACATTATACAACTTGAGCTGTTATAGCAGTAAGTGGTCATTGCGATTATAAAAAAGACAATCTGAACCACCGACCTTATATAGATATTGTTGTACATGTGTGCCTGTATACGTGTTGTTACGTGTCTACAAAACCAATCTATGCTATAGATTGACACTCTAGTAGAGAGGAGTATTGCATGAGTCGGGGGTGCTGGAGTCCGATGTCTTGTGTCTCCAGGCGTTGCAATGGAACAAGCTGGCCATCGGGCTAAATGAAGCATTATATAGTCCTGTCCTCTCCTGGGGTTTGAGCTGATGCAGCCGTCAGTCAGGTCAGTCAGGCAGTCCATCAACGAGGGGCGGCTCCTCTAAAGCAGCAGCTGAGCCGTTGGTTTCTCCTCTGTCACCCCCGAAATCTCTCTCCTCCCTGTCCTCATCTGGACTCAGTGGGTCCAGTTGGGACAGGTGGTCTAGGGGATCAAAAGTATGCATTTTGGGCTCTGGGCTGAGGAGCGAGAGCTGCGGCAATAGCGGCCCCTCCCGGAGCTTGGCAGCTAGCTCCTTGGCGCTGCACGTCGGGGTGTTGGTCTCGTAGATGTCATGGAAGTTGTTGTAGTCGACCTCGTAGAAGCCTTTCTCCAGGGAGAGGACCGGTGTGAAGCGGTAGCCCCAAAGCACCTCGGTGTCCAGGTAGGAACTCCGTGCCTGGCATGTCATCCCTGTCACAGGTGTGGATGGACATACATCCACATGGACATACACACAAACACACATACAGACACAAACACACACACACACACACGCACACACACACACACGCACACACACACACAGACACACACACAAACACACACACAGATGAAGGAAAGTGTAAGGGAGAAAAAAAAAGACAGAATCAGTCAATTATTCATGGTTATGCAACTGCAACACAGAGAGGGCAAAAGGCCTGCGCTGTGTTTCCTGTAAACCTACATCATGTTTGTGAAAGCTGTAATTTCAGGAACACATCTGATAGAAATAAACACTGTTTTATAAGTTGAATAAATGCATGTACCATGTTCACACAAAACTGAGTGTTTCTCTCTTTTTTTTTATTGGTGATAAAGTAAACAAAATGAAACAAGAATATATAGACATGACAACTAAAGCGAGAACAAATAAACAAAGACAAAAAAAATAAAATTATATATATATAATATAAATATAAATATAAAAATAAATAAAACGGACAAAATAGATACAAAATAGCGTAGTAATAGTGTTTTCTTTCTATAAGCAACCAGAAAAAAGGCACATTTGGCTTCCCAGTCAACTACACTTTGCTTTAGATATGGGAAGGCAGAAATGCTACAGCATTGATAGTGGGAGAGACACATTTTGACACATTGCACAGGTCTAATTTTAGCAACGCTTTGAATGACAGCAGATATATCAAAGGTGTAACGAATAACATCAATGATAACGCTGCTCCATTTAGTGCCACGGGAAGCATTATTAGTAACACAGCATGTGCAAAACTAAAAGCCTCGAAATGGGTTTGTCCCTACAGTCACACGGGTCATATGCTGCATTCATGTTGTGCTGGACACATTGGAAAAACGAGTTTCCGAGTTGTAAAATGCACATGAACACCTGCTCAAATCAGAACAACAACTCGGAAACTCGGAAAAAAATAAGGTGCCCGACTTCCCGACTTGTCATCAAATGGGGGGCAAAATATGTTTTGTTAATGTTAACATGCTTTTAATAAATTCAGGTATTGCATATCAACTTTTTGCTCAAATATAATTTTTAACAGTAACAGTTCACTGATCTTCTTCTTTGTAGCGTCAATGCTTTTTTGTGCTGTTGTTACAACATTACGACTTGTTGTGAACACACTGAACGACTTCCCAACTCGGAAACTTGGACCGCCCGAGCAGCACATGAATGCAGCAATATTTACCTATGTATGCTATACACCTACAAGACCTAAAAAAAGCAAAGCAGATCAGCAGCAAGTTGACTGTCTATTTCCATAATTACCACCAGTACTTTAGTTCTGAAAATGCGATGCCGACATGCAGACCAAAAGAGCCTTTATTTACATTTCACCCCAGCAGAGCCTCATAGTGAGAAATATGTTTAGACATTCAAAAAGGCAAGAGGAAATTATTTCACTTTAAAAAGACTAAAAAGGTATTCATACACCCCTTCCCCCTCCTTCCCTGCTCTTCTTATTTACTTTTCTAATTGTATTTATTTACTTTTTGTATTTTTTGTATGTATTTTTGTATATTTTTTATTTTTTATTATTATTATTACTTTTTTTTATTTTTTTACACGTGTCTGTGTCTACTTGTATTGTCCTATTAGTATCTATGTTACGACAGTCGCTAATGGACAACTACCTGAGGAAGCTGGGAGGGTAAATGGGTGTTTATTATTTTATTGTCTTGTTTTTCTGTTTAATTGGGGATTTTTTTTACTCTGCAGATGCTCTGATTTACTCCCATGTGACATCATGTTGTATTGTCTGCAAAAATGTAATAAAAAGATTTTGAAAAAGAAAAAAAAAAGGAATTCATACAGCAGGATGAGTCGAGATAAAAAAAAGCTAAAAAGAAAAAGCTAAAATTGACTGAAATGATCGAGCACACATGGATGAACAAACAGCGGCCAACTTTAGTCAGTCATTAAAAGATGGAGAGAAGCACAGGCTCTGAAAGGATTCAAAACTGATCCTGAATTGGCCCTCTTCTTCTTTGACACAATTGTTTTACCAGTAAATCAAATGTACTGTACGTGTGGCTGTAGAGTCACAGTCCATGGCAATCCCATTGGACATAACTAAAATACCTTCCAACTGTCCAACAACACAATATTCATGTTGGCCTTACAACAAAGCTTGTCTATAAAATACCTTATTACAATACAAATAAAATGACTATTAAAGAAGCAAACTAAGCGTCTGCAGACTAAACTTGGTGTTTAACTGGCATAAATACTGTCATCACATTACAGTAATTGCAAATATCTTATCCAGATCCAAACCTGTATGACACCAGGTGTACATTTCTATTGCTTTTTATGTCTTGCTGACTGCTTTCTGCTTTCAAAGGTCTATCAGAAGTTCTCAAAGGTGTATCGTGTTTGGCTACTTTAGACTCTTAAAATGGTCACAACTACTTTTATGATCACATTTCCAGTCCACAGGGGATCGGTCTTTGATACTCAAAAAGAGAATGGTTACATAATAATCTGTTTCTGAATGCATTACGTCACCAGTTAAAAGAGGGGCTTTAAATAGCTGCAGATTCCAAAGTGATAAGGTATCTTATGTCACGGGGGAAGAAGAATTTTGCACCTTTTCAGTTCCTTCTAGAAATGAATGACCTGATTTCCAGATTTTACTTGTTTCTTGTTTATCATTCTAGACAATATTTGACCTTTTCTGACCTCATAAGAAGGAATGTTGTATAGCATTTGTATAGGTGTTGGCATATTGTTTACAGTGTTGGTTTTAAAGTCTTATCGCTAATATTTTGCAGTGTAAAATAAGGGTGGGGAAAGGGAAAGCTTTCTGAGGTCTGGCTGCTATTGAGGGTCCATATAGGCCAGCTTCAACATTGTTAATCTTAAATAAAAGCTGTGCAAATATATATATTTACATAAGTTACAACTAAATGCCATACTGCTTAAGTTGTATATTGGTGCCTTCAAGATTGACATTCCCCCTCCTTTTAAAATTATAAAAGCCTTTTTTGAAATATAAATATCCTTAGGGCTGGCCACATTATGATCTTAACTGTGTGGCTAGCTTGGCAGGAAAAGTCCCTGTTAAAGCCCTGGCAGGTGAAGTGTGTGTGTTATTGCCTATGCTCTGCTGAAGCATTAGACCCCGTGTCCACCAGCGTCTTTTTTCAGTTTTTTTTTTTTAAATGGGTAGAGAGCGTTCGCAGCAGAAAGCAACCACCTTTTTTTTTTTTTTTACAGCTCTGAACACTCAAGTTGAAAATCTTTAAACTTTTCAGAAAGGCGCTGTTGACATCAGGGGCGCTCTTTTTAAAAATTTAAGTTACTCCCTGTATTTTAGCCTTGTACTCACATCCTCTTTGCTCCGTGTCTGCCGGGGTTAAAAAACAATCTCAAATATAAAACATGCAGTAAAAAGTAACGGAGCAGTGTCGGTCCTACAGAGGCCGTTGTCAACAAACTGTTGTCATGGAAACAGGACGGACTTGCAGCGCTTTTCTTCTCAGAGCACAATCGCTTCATGCAAACATTCCCGCGCGTACAGCCAGTGCTTTTCTGCCCAGAAACACTAGGACATGGGGCCTTAGAGTCCCAGAAGTGTACAATTAAGCGTATTGTATTGCATCGTATCATATCATATGGCATGATATGGTTCTGTATCGTATTGTATCTAAACGTATTGTAGGCTCTCATATCGGTTTAAATATCAGATTTAAATACTGCCCTTTCCCTGGATCTGTCAGGGGCCCGGTCATTTCTGTGTGTGTGTCCGGTCCAAATATGAATACAGCTGGTAGTGTGTGGAACCGTTTTAAAAGATAATGCACCCACAAGATATATTATTTTCTAATCATTGTCTCAATTCAAGATTCTAGCGTTTTATGACTTAATAGTTGGAGATGCTGTACAATCAGGATGACTGAGGCTCTTAACACACATTGCCACATGCTTTATTGTTGTGCTTAGGATTTTATTTCTTGAGGGATTTGCGAAAAATGTAAACTGCCCATTTAAGAGACCGGATCAGTTCACAAATATGAGCAAATAAGAACAACTCCCATCTGCCACATGATTTGAATCACACACGCAGTTTCAGGAGGCGAGTCGTTAGGGATTCTACAGACGAGCAGACTGAAGATATACTTTCCATTTTTCAGTCTGAACAGTTGCAGAGATTGTGTGGTAATTTCTCCCCTGTGCTGACAAGTTCTTGGCTCCGATCTTTTTCATGTTTTTACACACTTGTCTGGAAATATCTACTGCAGGATGTTGTGTGTGCAAGAGACACTCAACTGTAATGCTTTAAGACTTGGCAGTTAGAAGCAGAGGGTACAGGATTTAGCAGTGTTGTCTTTTTTGATTGTTGGATTCAGTTTTCTGTTATCAAAACTGATGTCTGTGAGTTTACCCACAGATTTTAAATGTACAAATCTTGAAAGCAGTACATAGGTACATCACACTGCTATGCAGAGCAGGTCCTACATTTTGTACAGTATTTAGTGTTGTAGTACTTGATCTTGATCTCAGAACGCCCCTTTCTAAAATACTGAATAACTTAAAGTCTTTTATAGTTTCATTTTTACCCCCCGGTTATGGCCGCAACCTTTAAAGGCTTAATATGTGATTTTTCACACTTAAATGTAATATAAATCAAGCATCTCCTCTGAAAATAACTCTGTGAGTCATGACTGTCTACAATGGGTGTAACACCCGAGTCCCACTGTCTGTGATGTTTTCAGAGTTTTCAGAGTCCTATCTTCACTTTGTTTACATCGTCAGGACAGCCGGCTGACTCCTCCCCTCACGTATAAAAGTAGTTTAATTGAGGGACTAGAGAAAAGAAGAATAACATACTGTACTCACTGCTTAACTGTGTTTCTAGATCACACTCATTTCAGGTAAATTTACATGCAGTGTGACGATACGAGCATAATAAAGATCACTAGCATTAGCATGCTAACACAACAATACAGCGCAAGTTGTT